GCTTCCACGCCAGAGAGGCTACATGTAGGCAGTCTAGTCACCAGTTCCAGCTTTCCAGTCGTTCCCGCCATTGCACCAGCCTGAGAGAGAAGCATCGTAGCCCTTTCAGACCAGACCACCCATCAGCTGAGTATCAGTGAGGGGCCTCGGCAATGCCATGAGGACAAAAGAGTTTTCCCCAAGTCCTGGCAAGATTCCTGACCAGCATCTAAATTTACGAGCATCTGGAATCGTCGTTATTTTACATTGATAAGTAGGGGTAGTTTGTGATGAAGCAAAAGTAACTGAAACATAAACTAGTAAATCATTTGTTGAATTTAAAGACAGTAATTGTGTAGAAAATACAACACATTGATTGGCCTTGCCTGTAAAACTAATGGGAACAACGGTGAAATATCACACGTCTTTAGAGTTCTTTCACTTCACATGACAATGTGATGATTTGCACAGGCTCAACAGGAATCTATCCTCCCTACCAGGCTATAATTAGAGAAAACAAATTTGTAACCATGACCATGCCAGAAATGTTTCATTTAACGGTAAATCTCATTTCATTAGGCATGGCAAGCCCATGAGGAAGGAACAAGGAATGCGCTCCTTTTTGTGGAAACCGCTTCAAAAGCCTCCCAGAACCTCTCCTGGTACCTCCATGGCTTGTGGAGTCTCTGTTTTATAAGTAGTAAATGTCACTTTCCCGAAGGCCAGGCGCACTGACAAGTTTGGGGATCTTAGAGCAAGAAGCTAACTCTACAGTAAAGGTACCACAGGCAAAGCCAGTAGAGGCAAACCAGGTGGTTTCTGGTTCCTAACCCTGGACTATGTGAACGAACTCAAGGGGCAAAAAGTTATTTCTGCTACTATATATCTAGGGGCCGCATCAGATTAACTCTCTAATCCTAACATCATGTGGTTCTAGTTTTATTAAACATAAAACAGAAAGGTCTTTATGTTCACTAATGCCTCATCGTGTTATGCAAATAAAACAGGCTAAATATAGCAAAGCATTATACTAATGCTACTGATAGTGTATCAGAAAACTGTGGGACAAACTTATTTGGTCAAATCCACATTGTAACTGCAGATTTGATAACAGGTAAAAACTGAAAAGGTGAAACCGGTATTCTTACCTTACCCTATTCCTTGGTGAACTATAAACCAATGAAATTTACATTTCTAAAAGCTTTGCGTTTCAAGAGAGAAAGTCATAGAATTACAGGGTCATCCTAAAGCTTTACACCTGAGATAAATTACAAAGAAGAGAAACACTATGTGTGTGTTTCTAATCAAAGACAGAAATGTGTGTGTGTTTTAATTGAAGCTGTTTGAACTGTATGCAATCTGATTTACCACATAACAATACAATTGTAAATATCACCATCTTTATACGTCTTCTGCAGACCACTACGTTGTTCTGAAAGCTAGTCTCCTTAGCATTGTGCTTTATTGCAAGTAAAAACTCAGCTCAGAGTTCAAATCAAAATTGACAAAAATACCTAATATGTTAATAATCCTGGCTAACAATGACAATAAAACAAGGTTATTACATGTGCGATGACTTTCAGTTTGTCTTAATTCGACAGGTGACAGATATCCTTACAGAGAACTATAATTTCATCAAAGTAGTCAATCCTGAGAAAGCACTTAACCATTGTTGGCAAACATTCAGTTCCCTACTAAATTATATATAATCCTTTTCATTTTTTCTGAAGAACGTTCACTGATGAGTGGGCTGCCCTCCACCCTCACAAGGAATTACTTCGAAAGGCCTGGACTCCCCAAGTCTACATACAGACGGTGGGGAGCTGGAAGGTGGGAGGGGCCAGGAAGGCCCCAGTTTTCTTCCTTCAGCCTGTGGTTCCCTTCTCAGTCTCCTCCTTTCCTGGTCAGCGAGGGAAGGAGGG